GCCCGACCTGCCCCGCATCTCCGCCGGCCCCGACCCTCCCTCCTCCCCGGGGATCCCGGCAGAGCCCTCCGGGAGCACCGACATTTTGAATGCAAGTGTTGTGGGGCAGGCTTTTCTGAGACTTGGTGAGAAATCTTTCTTTCTTTCTTTCTCTCTTCCCTTCTTTCTCCCTCTCTTTCCTTCTTTCTCCTTCCCTCCCCACCCCCCCACCACGCACAGTATAACAGTCCTCGCAAATAAATGCAGCAGCTTTCCTCCCCTCGCTTTTTCGAAGGAATTTCAGCACTTTAGTAAGTAGATAATAATGTGTGGCTGCTTCTGGCTGCCCAGTGAATTGCCAGGTACGTTTGGGGAAGAGACCCTTTTATTTCTTTTAAAAGCTAAAAAGCGGCGTTTTTCTACTGTTTTAACTCTTTTTTTAGGTGAACAATGCAACGGCATTTCCTACGAAGCTAATTTCTTATCCCACCGAGGAATAGAGCATTGATATCATGCCTCTCCCCACACTGAAAACTGGAAGGAAAGTCTTTTCGTGTACTTAAATGTGCAGTCATTTATTGCACTGGCGACTGAGCAGAATTCACCTTCAAATACCTCATGATTTACGCTCCCCTACGTAAGTGCACGGCCAGCTTTATGTGCCTGCGTTAGCCGTGCACCTCTCCCCTCTCTCCCCCAGCATTCACAGACCGGCTATTCCACCCTCTCGCGGTGCTGCTGCCCCAGATTAAACTCTGTTCGTTCCTTGTAGGATCCCTTTAGGATCTGCCCCTTTTCAAAAGGAATTCAACAGCCCCCGCCGCTGTTCCGAGGATGATTTAGAAACAAAGGTCAAGTGTAACAGCTTTGCTCACCCGTGTAACTGAAATAGGGGAGAGGGCTCTTTCCCCATAGCTGTATTCTCCCGTAGCCTGGTCAGTATGAATCCTGGTACGTCTACATTTTATACTCTATTGCTTCACATTTTTCTGTGCTTGCTGTATTTGTTTCTATTTATACATCTCATCTCGATACTATATTGTTTCCTGCCTATTCCTGGGCTGCCGCAGGACAATCTCTGCTCCTGCCTGGGAGGCTTACTTTTCAGTTGGTTTACGTCTCAATAAAAGCTCTCAGAAATATTTCCTGCCGTCTCACACGCTGCAGTTTTGCATCGCCGGGTCAGTATTATCGTCGACATTTTCACAAAGATGCGAATCTGTAAATCTGGACTTCTCGATGTTGCCAGACTGCTAGGGAGAAATCGCGAAAGTAATTTCTGAAACCACACCTGATATTAGAACCCTTGTTCCGTATAAAGATTCCCTATTAATGAGACTTGCTTTATATTATTTTCTCCTCGCTCAGCAAATGTAAAAACTTCTGCAGGAACCCCCCAGGACACCCCAGGAGCGAGGCACGGTTTATCACCTGCAGACCCCGCAAGGTGCACGTAACCCACCAGCTGACTGACTTCTTTGGTTTCCCAGGGGCTTTTTGTAGTAACTGGTAACTTCCTGGGGCAACAGAGAGTAATTTTCGCTTTCAAAGTATCTAACCAGGAATTTCAATTTATAATATCGTCTCGGATAAATGGAGTGGCTTACAGAGAAAATGCAGCAGTAAAAGCAAATAAAACGTAGCTTTAAACCAGACAGCATCGCCGGTGACTCACTCGCTAACGCTATAGGCACGGTCGTGGTCTAACACGTCCTGGCTTTAAACGTGAACTTCTGGCATGCAATAAAAGCCGCTATTTCTGACTAGGCAGGGCATTTTTCTCGGAAAAGCAGTTGTTTTATTAAGCCACTACTTAAACTTCGGCTTAGCGTAAATTAAATGCTGATGGGGCTCAAAACGGGTCCGGGATGAGTTTTTTTAGTAGCACAGGTGAAAAATAAGTGAGAAAGATGAATATTACCTTTCGGTGTTCACCTCTACTGTAGCAGCGAATGGGAGAAATCCTGGTGGTAGCGCGGATTTGTGCTTTATAAGAGGAGCCCAGGGCACTAGTTGCGGAGAAGGAAAAAGCTTGGAGCATCCTCCAGGACATGAGGAAAGGGAGACGGATAGCAACAGAGAGTGGTTTGGGTCACTTCACCTCGGGGACCTGCGGGTTGCGTTGCTCGGTTTTAATATTTTAGATGGTTTCAGTGCTCTTTATACTGGGTATTTTGTGGCTTATTTCCCCAATCATGCATCCTATGTGCCGTGCTGCCTGGATTAATGATCTCTAGATCCCTTGTGAACAAAAAATGATAACAAAAGCTCGCAAAACTTCATATTTCACAGAGGTTTTTAATCAGAAAACACAGCAGTGTGACAGAGCGTATAGTAAATGTGACAATTTCAGCAAATTACTTTTTACTTGAAAACGGTAGTAACTGCTTTTGTGGGGCTAAAATCTTTTTGTTTTTTGAAGAGTTAAAATCTAAACTAACGTACACCCCCCCTCTTTTAAGTGCTATTTTAAGTACTATTCATTTTTGCATTGATTTTAAACCTTCTACTTTGCGCAATTAAAATTTAGACTATTCAAAATAAAGCACTTAAACTGCCCATCTGCCCAACAACTAGATCCTGTACAAATGCTAAAAGTTTCGTACTAAACTCTTTCCGATGCGGTGCTGAGCGTCGTTAGCTCCTGTTGTAGCTGGAGAGGTAAATGAGTTTGAGTCTGATGAATACTCTCAACTGTATTGCAATGGAAATTTTTCAATGGTTAAATTGTGGTTTAGGTGTAAGCAATAGCATAACTTCCCGAATATCAAACCTGCTGCTTCCTAAATGTCACTGTATTCAAATATTCCTGTTTTGTGAGATGCATCTACCATTAAAAGAGTTTGTTTCCAGGCAAAACAGCATAGTTGGTGGAGAGCAAATATTTCTTAAAGAGCATCTAAAAAGCACTCAACTTCTGAAGCGACCAGAAAACTTGTTGTATTGCAGCTTTCGTGTCCTCTTGCCTGTGACAATGGTTCTCTGCTGCTTGTTTTGAAACTAGAATAAACGTCTTGTTCAGTGCACAGTAAGCACGAACTACTAAACTGAGTTGTTTAAAACCTCTGGCAATCAAAAAAACACCACTTATACTGTTTCTGGTAACTAAATTCAAAACAAGCTTGGTGAAAGTTTAAATATACAAAGGGGAAAAGTGTCATCTACATTTAGAAAGTAAGTGACCTACTTCTACAAGCTCTTGTTAGTGGCAAAATGCAGCTATTTCCCAAAGCCTCTAAGCGCCATCCTCTGTCCTCAGGCCAAGCAGCCTTTGACTTCAAGCTCTGCCTGAGCAGGGAGTTGCAGGTTATCCCTTAAAAGGCTGTTTTAATCCAAAACAGGACTTCAAAC